TTATATAGCCATGTACTATGATTATTTCATTACATGGTAGGGTTAGACTGTGCGCACCCACAGAAGTACTGTAGTGCCTACTTTTTTTCTCTTTAAAAATGTAACTTGAACAAGGCCCTTAATTTTTCCTGTATATTGTTTTTGCTAGATCTTTAGCCCAGTTCCCAAATGGTTCAACTGATGTACTCTGTGCAAAACCACATAAATGTTTTAAAATGTGTGGTTTCGATCCAGAAAAAAAAGTAAGATATCTCCTTCCTGGTCCTTCCTCCTTTCCACTGAAAATCTTTGTGTTCCCCAGAGTCAATGGGCTGGCTAATTATTCCTATAGACTGCCACAAGATGGTTGCATCTTGACAGGGAAACCGAAGGACTTTGGTAGTGCTACCTTGCAGAAGCAGAACTCTTCTTCTACTTGTTCAAGGCACCTATGGATCCAGTAGAATGTTTCAAAGACTTAGAGAAAAATGACACATGCATCCTTCCTACTTACAGCTTTTTAGGCATCCCTATCTTCAAGAAGGAAAAAAAGGGTGACCCAAACAATTACCGTCCAGTCAGCCTCACGTCGATACCAGGCAAGATTCTGGAAAAAATGTTAAGGAAGTGGTCTGCAAACACTTAAAAACAAATGCTAATAGTCAACATGGATTTATAAAAAAAACCCGTCATGCCAGACAAATCTGATCTCTTTTTTTCGATAGAGTTACAAATTGGGTAGATGCAGGGAATGCTGTGGATGTTGCTTATCTGGAATTCAGTAAGGCCTTCAACAAGGTCCCCCATGACCTTCTGGCAAACAAACCAGTCCGATGTGGGCTAGGCAAAACTATGGTTAGGTGGATTTGTAATTGGTTAAATGAACAAACCCAGAGGATGTTCACCAATGCTTCCTCTTCATCCTGGAAAGAAGTGACGAGTGGAGTGCCGCAGGGTTCCGTCCTGGTCCTGTTCAACATCTTTATTAATGACTCAGGTGAAGGGTTAGAAGGCATGATCATCAAGTTTGTTGACAACACCAAATCGGGAGGGATAGCCAATACCCTAGAAGACAGGAGCAGAATTCAAAATTATCTTAACAAATTAGAGAGATGGGCCAAAACTAACTAAATGAAGTTCAACAATGACAAATGCAAGATACTCCACCTAGGCAGAAAAAAAAGAAATGCAAAGATACAGAATGAGGGATGTATGGCTTGAGAGCAGTATGTGTGAAAAAGATCTTGGAGTCCTCGTTGACAAGTTAAACATGAGCCAACAATGTCATGTGGTGGCAAAAAAAAAAAAAAGCCAGTGGGATTTTGGCCTGCATAAATAGGAATATAGTGTCTAGATCCAGGGATGTCATGCTACCCCTCTATTCTGCCTTGGTCAGACCACATCTGGAATACTGTGTCCAATTCCGGGCACCACAATTGAAGGGAGATGTTGCCAAGCTGGAATGTGTCCAGAGGAGGGTGACTAAAATGGTCAAGGGTCTGGAGAACAAGCCCTATGAGGAGTGGCTTAAAGAGCTGGGTATGTTTAGCCTTCAAAGAGAAGGCTGAGAGGAGACATGATGTTGATGTATAAATATGTGAGGGGAAGTCATAGGGAGGAGGGAGCAAGCTTGTGTTCTGCTGCCCTGAGGACTAGGACGTGGAACAATGGCTTCAAACTACAAGAAAGGAGATTCCACCTGAACATTAGGAAGAACTTCCTCACTGTGAGAGCTGTTTAGCAGTGGAACTCTTTGCCCCGGAGTGTGGTGGAGGCTCCTTCTTTGGCAGGTTTTAAGCAGAGGCTGGATGGCCATCTGTTAGGGGTGTTCTGAATGCAATTTTCCTGCTTCTTGGTAGGGGGTTGGACAGGATGGCCCACAAGGTCTCTTCCAACTTTATGATTCTATGATTCAAATGGCTTAAAGGACCACAGAAATTAAGTTCATTTTTTGATAGTAGGTAGAGAGAAAACAAACAAGATGACAAAAAATCTGTCTACAGACTGATTAACCAGACACAGATATCAGACAAAAAATAACAGGAAAACAGACTTAAGACTTAATCAATAAAGCTTTAACAGACAGGAGTGTAATTAATGCCACTCTCAGCAGGATATTATGGAAAAATGTCATGCTGAATCTGATCTCATTTCTGTAATGAGTTAAATTGAAAAATGTAAATGTGATGGTCTTGCTTTCTCTTGGGAGATTATGGACTGCTCTACACAGTAGCTCAATAATGATGTACTTCCTCGTGATTTTCTCATTGCTGCACTCTGTTGTTCACCAATCCTCATATAAGATGATTTTCCCTAGTCTTGTTTACTATAGTGGCACAAGGAAAATCTACAATGTGATAATGAAATATCATATGATCCAGAAGATTTTCACCATGGGGAGTAGCAGGAGACAAGGGGATCTAGCATTTGGCTTGGCAACATCCAATGTTTTGGTATTTCTGGTGCTATAAGATATAGACATGCTCAGACTTTGAACAGAAAACCAATAGGAACAACATTTTCAGATGCAACTTGCTATGAAAAGGCAGGAGCTGACATAGTGGTTTGAATCCAGATTAAACCATGTCCCATTGCTTTCAATATATTAGCTTTAAGTGTGATTACATGCCAACTCTATGATTCTGTTGTTATGTCTGTGCCTAACCCAATATAAATAAAACACTTTAAGATTGCTTAAATTATATAGATACACCTCAGTAAGTATTCATAATGAGAACTTTTTTTTATTGAGGATAGGATATCTGCAGGCACTAAATACAGTATAGGGAAAAATCATTGACATTCTCACAGAAATTTTAAAAATGCACAATTAATGCTGATGAATTAGAATGGATGTGAAAAGAAGAGAAAACAGTCTCATCCCATGACAATCAATAGATATATTGATTGTGTTATATTGTGTTGTGCTTTTGTGTAATATTGTGTTATTGTGTTATTGTATTGATGGGCGTGGCTAATATAAGCCGCCCCGAGCCCCCGTGGGGGATATGGAGCAGGGTATAAACAAAGTTTTGTTATTATATTATTAAAGTTTAGCACAAGAGTGAATCAGTTCAAGGAGTGCTACTTTCTGACTGTAGCAAGATACTCCATTTTGATCCCTACTTCTATGAAAATCTGTGAGTTATAAAAAATGCAAAATGCACAGTATAATTCATTAAAGACTGGGGACACATCCACACTATAGAATTAATGCAATTGGACAATACTTTAACTGTCATGCTTAAGACTGTGGGATCATGGGCATCGCAGTTTTACAAGATGTTAAGCCTTCTCTGCTAGAATGCTAGTGCTTCATCAAACTACAAATCCCAGGATTCCATAACATTGAGTGATGACAGTTAAATTGTTGTCAAACTGCATTCTACAGCGTATCTGCAACCTATCTGTGAGGCAATAATTAGAATCCTGTTAGTTTGTTCTAATCAAAATAGACCTGTTAAACTAATTATTAAATGATGAATCAACACATAAGTTCTACTCTAGCCAGGCTTATCTATTATTGCTGTTGGGCTACAACAATAATAAAAAGGTTTCACTACCATGTTGCTTGGATTGAGGTATCCACCAAGGGGCTTCATGAACTTTGGTTTTGGGAGACTGGTCCATACAAAATCTATTTTCCATTGGGCAATTTTAAAAAGAGAATAACGTTATTTTTTCATTGACAGTCATTGAACAAAACTGAATTGAAGTCCTCCCAAGAAAAATATGGAGGAAGAGGGTGGTAGGATCTGAAAATTATGAAAAAGGAAAATAGTTGAGGAATATAGGTCAATGAAGATATCTCAAGATGTTGCTGAATTTCAGGGTGATTCCACACCACTCAAATCAACATTAAAACACCAGTTTGTCATGGTGTGTATGGGCACAGCCTCCCTAACCTCCCTGCACCACCTTTCCCTTGCAAAATGACAGGAATAACACATTACCTTTGCAGCAGACTCTGTAGCTCCTAGCAGATGTAGGAGATCTTCCCACTCCAAAGCTCCAATTGCATCTTGGTGATGCAGATCATCACCAAGATGGAAGCTTTGGAGCGGGAAGAGCCCTCCCCTACTTCAAAGCTCTATTGCAAATTCAGGAGATACAGAACCTGTATTTTTCCTGGTGTTTTTCCAACCTAGGATAAACTTCTATTTAATTTCAGGTTAAAAGGCATTAGCCTGGGTGCACCATTAGGACACCCCAGTTTATTGTGTTTCCTACACTGCACTTTGTGGCACTGTAGATAAGGCCCCAGTTTCCACTATTACTGGCTTTGGCTAGGCTGCTTAGGGCTGTTAAAAATTGCAGGGCAGGGGAGTGTAGGGTGATTCCCACCCCTGACTTGGCTCAATAGTGGATGCTTTGACTGTCAGAAACTTTCCATGACTTTAATCAGGTAAACAATGATCTTGATTGCTGAACAGCTAATAGCAACAATTCAGAATTTTTGTAATTAATTTTGTTTTCCTCCAGTAGGATCATGCAATTCTGATTATGTGGCATTATCATAGCTTACTATTGCGAATACATTCCTTACCCAATTTTGTCTCATTCTCCTGTGGAATCTGTTGACAACTGTAGCTTTAAAAACTCACATTGTAAAGAACCAATTCAGCTGAACATGGGAGGGGGAGAACCCTCCAAATTGTAAAATAAAAGGGTAGTTATACATAAGAATTTATGGTACATGATTCCCCCTTCCCCAGGTAGCCTAGTTAACATGGAACAAATGCTTTTATCTGTTTTAAAAATGTGTAATGTATTCTTCTTTCTTGAGAAGTCTGTGGTCCAAAAAGACATTTGTATTCAGCTGGTCCTGGAGTTACAAATGCTTATATTTCCTGCATCAATTTATTTAAACATAATGTTAACGTGAAGGCTAGAAAATCACAGTGACCTGTGATGCAGATTCAGAAAGCCTATCCAGCGTCTTCTTTTTGTAATTTAAAACCATTCAGGGTTTTCATTCTTTTCTTTTTTTTCCCTCCTGGTTCCATGAAATGGATTTTCAGCAAGGCAATAACAGCAGGGAGCCGGACAAAGGGACAAATGGAGAAATGGTGAGTTATTTCCCATTGTTAAAGGGAAAACTTTGATAGGAATTTTGTTTAAATGCAATTAGGTCAGCACAGGTGAATAAAATTCACATTTAACAACCAAGAACCATTTAAGCCCAGCAAGAGTAATGTGCCCCAACCTTCTAAAAATGTATGGTTCCCCCATCAAAAATTGGGTTTCAGTTTTCTTGCTGTGAGTAATGGCTTACAATTGCACCTGGCAGAAATATATTATGCTAGACAAGGAGCCTGGAATTGAATAGGCATGGGCTGAGCTGCTGGACTTAAGGAACAAATAGTTGGTCCTTTAAAACTGGATGATGATGACAATGATGATTGTGATTGTTGTTGTTATTTGCCCAACTTCACTCACTCTTCACACTTCCTTGACTCCCTTCTAGCTTTGTTGCCAGGTAGCCAAGAAAAGCAACTTGAGTCTTACTGAACATTCAGAGGAAGCCCGCTGTGACAGTTTCACACAGGGGGTTTGTTGTTCAGTTCTTAATTAAATTATTGAGAATTCTCTTTTGCCGTCTCGCAGTAAAACTGTCCTAAATTACAGAAAGTTGAAAGGCTGTTTCAGCATTGGGATGTAAACACCTTTAAAAAATGTAAATGAATGATGTCCAACTGATAGCCTGTAGGTTGGAGCAGGTTTCCAAAGACGTTTTATCTTACCCTTGGTGACTTACCTAATTTTAAACAAGTTGTTATTCAAAACAACAACGGTTTATAGTTAAACTTGTAAGGAAGGAAAACAATGAGTTCATCTGCTTTAATATTAATATGAACTCTATAAGTCTTGTTTCCTATCCATTGTGAAAAAGCAAAATCACCTTTTGGTGGATTTTCTTGCAAATCAACAACACAATGACCACCACCATCATCTGAATTATGTTCCAAAAAATTGCTTGTGCCATAAATGGGGTAAACTGATGGCTGCAGTCATTTACACAACAGTATCCAATTGAAATCATTATACTACAATTGCACAGAGATAGTTATCCCTATAGGCTTCTGTGGCCCCTTCTACACTTCCATATAATCCAGATTATCAAAGTAGATAATCCACATCATCTGCTTTGAACTGGATTATCTGAGTCTACGCTGTCATATAACCTAGTTGCAAGCAGATAGTCTGCATTTTATACAGATGTGTGGAAGGGGCCTGTGTAATCTCAGCCAGGTTTTGAATCTATGTAGTGGCATTACAGTTCAGAGTAATGTGGAACCGTGATTGTTGTGTGTATTGCTGAGAGCATTATTAGCTCTCCTGAAAAGAGAGAAAGATAAAGAATCAATATTTTGCATTGCTTTACAAAGTCAGAAATGGGAAGAAGCAGGTAATGTTATAAATCTTTGCTCTGTGCCACTTCCACTCTCTTAACCATCTAACCTAGAATTTAGTACAGGCTTTACTTGGCCACCTTTTGGGGAGCAAGGTCAAAATTTTGCATCTTTTTGGCCTTCATGGGTGATAAGGTGTTTTCTCTGCCTTGTGCTTATTCACTATGGAAAAATTGGTTTTAGATGCTGCTTTAAAATGAGATATTCATTTATTACAGTCTAGGTAAATTGCATTAATAGCTATTTCCCTATTTAATTTAACTATTAATTACTAGGCCTGTGCGGTTTCGTTCGTTAATTTTGTAATTCGTTAAACATTCGTTATTTTTAGCAATAACGAAACGATTACAAAACACATTTTCAAACCCGGAAGGGTTTTAAAATAACGAAACGGCAACCCCCATAGATTTAACGAGCTTCCGCCCGTTTCGTAAATGGGGGGCGGGGTGAAGGGGCGGCGCGAGCGCACACCCAGTGAGCCAAGCCCCGACCCTGCCTGTTGGGCGCGAGCGCGGCTCCCGATTGGCCGGCTCCCGATTGGCTGTGTTGCTGGGAGAGAGAGGCGCCTTAAAGAGACAACCGGCCTCCGCAGCTGTGTTGCAGGAAGTGCCAGGAGGAGGAGGAGGAGGAGGAGGGCGCAGGAGCCGGAGCCGGAGCGGAGCGCAGGAGCCGGGGAGGGGATTCCTGCAGCGCCGGCTCTGTCTCCATGCGCCTATGAGTGTACGTATAATACCATTCTGTGAATCGGGCAGTTAGTCAGACCCATCTCTTCTGATGACAAATGTCACACCTATCACATAGGAGTCCTTCCCATGTAAGCAACATCTGACCGAATTCATTCTTCTATACAACTGGGAAAGATACAGGAGTTCTGCTCCTAATAAAGATGGGAATAATATGTGAAAATATTCTAAAATGCAAAAGAATGTTTACTATCAAGTAACCCTGATGAAATGAATCCTGGATTGATAAGAAACTTTGCAGTTATACCCTTAACGGATCGACCCCGCGCCAATAACGAAGCTTGTTTTACGCATGCGCGGGGGTCCGCCATCTTTACAAAATGTTTTGTAAATATTTATGAAATTTCGTAAATACCAAAACTTTTTTGAAATTGTGTAATTATTTTAAATATCGAAACAAAAAAACACCCCAATTACAAATCGATTTTAGAACCAAATTTTTTCTTGATCAACCAGGCCTATTAATTACAAAGTGTATTATTTGGTCACTTTTCACAGCTTAGTGTAGGAAAGTGAAATCATTTCTAATAAACAGTGAATGTCCATGGGAACCTTTTTGTGAAAGTTAGCTCCTTGGACTTCTCCATTCGGTCATGGAAGTCAGAGATAGGAAAGGGAGCAACTTTGGGACTGGACTCCTCTCAGGTTCAGGGTATGAGGTAAGGGCCAGTATATTCAACCTTCCTGAAAATAGACTGCCCAGATACAAGCTAGACTGATTTGCTTGTCTCTAGAGTAAGGCCGGCTACTAGCTATTGACATGCTGGAAAAAAGTAAGATTATACCTGCTTCAGCATACATCATACTAAGCAGCCCTGCTACAGATCAAAATTAAATGGTTAGTAATGTTGCCCTTTTAAAAAACAATACATTTTGTGTGTCTGTATCTTTGTTCTGACTGGTTGGGTAAATATTATTTTAACTGTTAACTATTCTAAGCAGGCATGTAGCCGGGGGGGGGGGGGGGGCTTGAGGGGCTTCAGCCCTCCCCCCGAAATTCTCATGGTGGTTCGCGAAAAGGCCTTACTGGTGCATTATTTAAACTGTTATGTTTATTCATATCATGATCTGATCACCATACTCAATATATCCCATATGCATGGGGGCATTGGGGTAATGATACAAAAGGTTTGCTAGGCTAGACCCTCTTTCACTCAGACTCAGCCCCCCCCCGAAACTCAGCCCCCCCCCCCGAAACCCCCCTCCCCCCCCCCGGAATCGAAATCCTGACTATGGGCCTGATTCTAAGTATATGGCAGAAGTTGAAAATGTGCAGCTTTTTTAATGTTGGATTTCAATCCTCAGGAACCTCAGCTGGCATAAGCTATAGTATTGAAAGTCTGGAGTAGCAGTCCAGCAACATCAGGAGAGTTGCATGATGCCCACTTTTTTCTTTAATACCAATCTTTTGAATGGTATTTGACCTCATTTAAAATTTCTTTAACTTGACCAAACCCATCACCAAACTCAATAGGATGTTGCCAGTGTAAAGCTCGATTTGCAAGCAGAATTGAGTCATAATCTATAAAATTATTTGGCAGGAAGACATATTTTAATATCTTCTGCCAAGACACTACACTTGGAGGACCATCATCCTTGGGTTATGTGAAATCGTCTAAGTAAGTAAGTATACAGGTTGAGCATCCATTGTCTGGAATTCCAAATTCCAAAATAGTGATAATTCATAATTCTCCACATAGATTATTGAGACGGAGGCCTAATCTACATTGATCATTTAATGCAGTTCAAAGCTAGTGGTGGTCAGACAACAAACACCCACAAAAGTGCATGAAACAAAAATTATTTTTCATCAGTGCTTTATTGTTTATATAATCACCATTCAAACCTTCACCTGGTTCCACAATTTACTGTATAATCATCTGCAAGTGAAACAACTTTCTGCAATCCCAATTTGAAAGTGAATTAAATGGTCAATGTAGATGGAATGGTCAGAAAGCAAAGAGATTTTTGCTTGCTGATTGTTCATTATACACAAACTACATTTCATGCACAAGATTATTAAAAAGTAATCAGGTTATGTGTATAATATAAGCTGTATATGAAACACAAACATACATACAAATAAAGGTAAAATCTGAAATCCAAAATACTTCAGGTTCTGATAATTTCAGATAAGAGATACTCAATCTGTGCAATATTATTTAATATTTCATTTTACAATACATGTGCTATATCTTCTCTTTACGTTGCATGGCCATTTCTTGGTCTGTGGTCCAGGGGATTACTTTTTTAACATTTTAGACATTTCTGAGACAAGATGCTAAAAGCGTTCGGACAGTGACATTTTGTCCAATATGGTATTTTAGGGGTTTTTTTTGTTTAAGTTTCTATTTTCCAACTAAATCGACTATGATCCCTTGACATTCTGCGTAGCTGATTTCTATAGCTAGTGTTGCAGGATGATTCTTTGGGAAAAATATTCTTCAGTAATATTTTCATCTGACAACAGAACTGTTAAAACACAAGGGACTCAAACCAGGCTGCAAAGCAACCTTAAAAAGATTAGAGTTGGGAGGTCTACATGCAACACTGATAGATTCAATATTAATAAATGTAAAGTCCAGGAGTCAGAGAGAAAGGAAATAAAAACAGCACAGATACAATACTGAATGAAGTAACCAAGCAACCACACAGTCTGAGTGTAATTTTTTTCTTCTTTTATTTAGTCCCAGTGTCCCTTTCAAAGATATTTGTAAATCCATCATTACACCACAAATACAGAACAGAGGTGGGATGCATCTCCAAGTTAATTACAGCCCCGAGAAATTATTCACAATCCTAAAAAGGAGTTTTCCTTTGTCCTGTTATCCATTGTGCTTTAATGACCATTACAAGTTGTATTTATTTACCACTGTCTATGTATGGAACCATTATTGTGGAAGAGATGTAGCT